CATGGTATTACAATTAATATTTTACTAAGTTTAGCAAATTTTTAAGGGCAACAAATTTTTAAAAATATGGATGGTTAGAGATGTTAAATGAATATATTACATTTAATTGAAAGTGATATAAAGAAATTAAATAACCTTTTTATACTAGTATTTTTCATTCATCAAAAATCATTAGTGCATATTTTTTCCCAATTTCATAGAACTGTTCTCTAAAACTTTACATTCCATTAGTGTTAGTGTTACTATTAAATATTCATTTGAAAAAATAACACATTCTGAAAACAGTATTATTTGTAAAGTTATATTTTATTCATCTAATTACTTTAATGTGATTAAAATTTTAAAATTAAAAAAAAAGTTTCACAAGTTTCTGAATATTAAGTAATTGAAATTTATCAATTTAATTAATTAATTTACTGGAATAAATTTCTAGTTTATTTTTCAAAACTATAGGAAATATATAGTTTTTTGTTTTTTACTTGATCAATCTTTCAAAGAATCAGATTTTCTTCAAACATTATTCCTAAGGGTTATTTGATAATGCTTGGTTGAATTCAAGTTATCTTACAACAATTGAATTACAATTCTTTTATCCCTGTAACTATTTTCTTATATCATTCTGCTGGTACTTCTTTTTAAATTATGAATTTAAACTTGATTAATTCTTATGTTAATTTTCAATATTTAACTATACAAAATAACTTTTCTACTTAATAATAAATAATTAGTTAGTTAAATTATTAAATCTTGAAATCAACTGTTGACGACAAATATGAATTGAAATTAATTTATGCTTTAATTTAAATGATACACGAAACTAAATATTCATTAACCAAAGAGTAGGAATTTTAAATTTTGGCAAATTTTCAATATTTGACAAGAATAATCTCCGCCTACTCATTATTGCACTACCCGCGAAATTAAATCATATATATATATGTCAATAACAATGTAAAAAATTAATATACTCTCCATTTATAATGAAAATCAATATGCAGTTTCTAAGGGATTATTAATTAATTTCCAAACTCTATTAAAAATATCTTATATTATCAATTAAATTTTTTTTTTCATTTGTGTTTAAATAAAAAAAATGAATAATTTATTTTAGGAAAATTTTTATTTAATTATTGTTTAGAAATAATAATAATAATTAGTTACATTTATATAAACACAGATACACACACTCATCTGTAAAAAAAGTGCACGCAGGCATGGGTCTGTATAGGGGAAAATGAGAAACTTGTCCCTCTTATGAGAGTAAAAAATTCTACAAATTGTAAAAGTGATTGAGATAAGTAACCTTACACCCTCAACCATGAGATACTTTGTCTTCTATTTATAGAATACAGTACTATATTAATTAATACAAGCTACTTGTGGGGGGAAATTAAATAAAAATTTAACGATGTAATTATTTGCCTCCAAGCTTTGTTACATATCTGCAAAAATTTTTACAAGGGGATGTGTTATTTAATTACATTTATATTATAATATTTCTAAAAGTTTCAGAAACAATTATATGGTTCTAATTTTAATATTAATAATAGTTTTGGAGTAATTTATTTTATTTTTCGAAAAAAATCTTATAACCTGTATATATGAAAAAACATTCAAGAAATATATAATTTAAAGAAGAATTGGCTGAATATTCGAGCATTCAAGTATAATAAAACTGGTAACAGAGAAGGAATTTGTCTATTATTTTAGATTTCCAAACATATACTAAACTTGTACAATTGTCCCTTTTTATATCAGAGGGCATTTTTGTCTTTTTCATTATAATTATAAAGTTTGCCAGTTCAATTTGGTGATATTCCAATTCTATATAATTACTAAAAACCTTATTTAAAATTAATAGAAAACTAATCTCTTTGATAATGAGAGCTTAACAAGATATATATTAAACTATTTTATTCTACAGAAATATTTTTAAAAATCTTAAAATAATTGGGTTTTTTTTCAATGAAAGAAAATTTTATTATTATTACTGTATATATTATGTATCTATATTTAATAAAACATTGAATTATTATTAAAAATTTTTTTTTTGTTTTTATATGATAAATTATCATTCCTAATTAATAAAATTTTAACGAGTAAACACTATAAAAAAAATAAAAAACTTTCCATCCCAAAAAAATTATGTTTTTGAATTTTATGTTTTTAACTTTAATCAATGAGTTGATCTGATTAAATTTTAATTAAAAATTTTCTTAACAAATATTAAATAAAGCCAAACGAATTCCTTAAAGAGAAATTGAATTTCTGCTATAAAGTAGTTAATGCAATACTATCAAAATAACTTTTCTGCTGGTATTCTGTGATGGGGAAAAAAGAGAAAAGTAGTTGTGTGCCATCTTACTATTCATTTTATAAAATTTTTGTCGTCGTTATGCAATGGCATCCAAGATAAAATTCGGAAGAGAACTATGAAAGATCAATATTAAATTGGAAAATAGGAATTTTTTAAATTAGATTTTACGTTATACTCTGGCAAAGGAAGGATGTAAAATAGAGGCAAAGAATAGAAAAACAGTTAATTTTATATATATTAACAAAATTTTAATGAATTTTTAAATATGTCCAGGATAAAGTGAACGTTATATAATTTCTGTTTCTATATTTGTTTATCAATTAATAAATTTTTTTAAAAGTATTTATTTAATTTGATTTCTAAGTTAAGCTCTAAAACTAAAATTTTTCTCCATTTCTAATGCAAATAAAATCTATCAATTAGGAGTAAGATTAATTTTAATATAGATAAAGAAAAATGAAATTAAAGTCGACTGCTTCGTTTAAAAAATAAAACTGCGAATTAAATTAAACATCAAATACGTAGGTATCTTTAAAAATATATAAAACATCTCCTCCTGGCATTTAAATTTTTAAAAAATGGCAGCGAAACTTTGCATACATTAACATATTTTGCTACCGTCTTACATAATTAAAAATGAAAATTTGTGTAATTCAATCCTGAAACATCATTCGGATGAGAGAATATCTTAAAACAATGTAACCACGAATAACCATGCCTATGTAATTGTCTAATATTTTAGAAAGGGTTTCTAATTACCAACGATACGCTCTTTCAGACAACAGTATAGAAAGTTCTTTCCATAAACATACTACAGACGAATATTGACATTCCCGATATCTTATCAGATAATTAGACGTACTAATTTATAAATAAACGGAGTCAGTATAAAATTTCTAACAAATTAAAACACAGAAATCCTGTAATTCATTGGAAGCACTTTTTTCCCGGTAAAGTTGCAATTTAAAACTGGACGGAGTTCGTTCCTAACGAAAATTTTACGGCTTAGAGGAAATTACCATAGAAATATAGTACGAATAATCCAATAGCTGTCACGATAAGGAATCTTTCACAATTCGATTACTCATAATTGAAACAGAAATAATAAAGCGCTCCCACGATTACGGACACTTCTCCCCCTTTAAAATACGTACCGTACCTCGAATCCTTTGTTTTCAACACATTAAATTCCCCATGATATCGCTTTCGAATTCGGTAATCAAACGAGATATTATTGTATAAACTACGTTATCGTGCATACATTTACTAAAACTAAACTGTAAACGAAGTTAAAGGTCATATTTACAGCTGATACGCTCTGATAGCTGTTTGAATTGTTCGTCGTAATTTGAATAATTTACTTTAATTATCTGCGACAACTTGTCAAAATCGTATATTGATAAACTGTCAACGAAAACCACCTTTACCTGGAGGGAAGCTGATTCCGACCTCCTTCCTTCCTTATCCAACTGGCTAAACACGTGTCCGGAGACACACACACTTACCGCGAATAACCGACAGATGGCGTACCTTGTTGATGTTTTCATCCACCAACCCTCCTATAATATATACTTTATCACTTTCCACTCGCTCCAGGACATTTGTCGAGTCTGGGGTAAGGTATACAACTTCTTCGGGATCGAACACGTCCAGAAAGTATTTATCCGTCATGTCCACCTAAAAAAAATAAGTTTTGCCTCTTTAGAGTATTATTGCTCTGTAAATCAATACTTTGAATGAAGAAACAAACTTATCCCTAAGATTTAATTTTCCCTCACCGAAATCATCGTCATTAAATACAATAAAAATTTATCTAAGAATATTGAAATTAACTGAAATAGTATGAAGATTAAGCTCAAAAGGATAACCCCAATACAGAACTCTGTTGTACAGTACATTTTAATGTCAATTAAAATGCTATTCAATTCTATAAACGATTATCTTGCCGGATAATTAAATGAATTTGATATTCAGAACAACAAGCATCCGGACACGGAACGATAAAAGCAGTTATCATAACCAAAACTCAAACTTTTATGGGCACTGGCAGCGAATTAAATTAAGTTAGACGGAGTAATTAGAGAATTTTCCGAGATAAATTTTAATTTATTAACACAAAAAAATTCCTAATGCTACATCGGACGAGAAATGAGATTTCTAACTTTGTTTTTATCTGGATTGTCTATCAAAATGAATTATATGGCATTGATGGCTAATAAGAATTGGCTCATCAATCCAGCAGAAGAGCATTTAATGGACACATTAAGTGTAGAGATAATAACATTTTGGATTCAATATTAAGTACGAGCTACCTACAATTTATAATGTACGCCGCAGAGCTTCCACCATATAAATTTACATATCTCCATATAAATTATAAATAAGATACATTAATGTTTCTATCGAGCGATAGAAAAAAAGGATGTTGACTTTAGAACGATTCATTTCCTACGATAAAATTCGCTCTGTCATAACCGATTTCACGCGAAACCTTGATAAAATATAAACATTTAATAATCATTTTAGATTAGATTATTTTGATAATGTAGAGTCTGATAATTATTGCAGAATTAATTAAAACGATTACTTTAATTAATTAATACAGCAAGATTCATTTAGCTTCTTGTTTGGATCTGTATTAAATTATTATATCAGCAACCCAATAATGCTTATCACCACGACTTCTGTATGTTAAAAGTTTGGGGGAAAAACAGCAATTTGAATCAAGATACAATTGTTGATTTTCATAAAAATAATATAAACTGAAATTACAAAATTTCAGCTCATATTATTCTTCTTGAAGACAAATAGTTTGCAAACTGCTGTTTCTAATAATGTAATTTCTTGCAACAGATAATACGATGTAAATCCATACCGAAAATAGTAGTTACATTATATTGATATTTATTTTTGAGAAATTTAATACATTCGATTAAAAACGAAAAAAAAATTGGAATCTGCATGAATTTATTTATTCATCGAATTTGATGAAGTCTAGCAGAAATTACATAATGGAAAGTTTTATTCCTCTGATCATTTATACATCAAAATTAAGCAAAATCTTCAAATAAAATTCAATTAGTAAAAGTTTCAGAATTTTTTTTCTATCCTGAAATTTTTATGAAGCTCTTTAAAGAATATTATTTATTTTTTAAGCAAGTAAGTTAATAGATAATTTTCTGTTATAAAATTCGTTCATTAAAAATTTAAATAATAATATTTTTTTCATGTGTTTATGACGTAAGAAAAAATTATAAACAAACTTATTACATAATCTAAAAATTGTTTTTGGATTTATTTTGTGCTATTCAAAATAATAATAATTAAACGAAACATTATTAAATATACAAAGTCTCTATAAAATTATTGATTGCTATTTTCTGAATTATTTTCATATGATTTAGACATAAAATAAGAATAAACAGTAGCAAAATTTTTACTCAAATGAAACTGTATAGTCCAATGGTTCCCAATTAGCGGCAATCTAAAATCGGTCGATTTAAAAATGCACGAAATGAAGCAATAAAAAAAAATAATGGGTGAACCATCAAAAATTCGGCAATTTACAACACGATGTCGAATGCACAAATTCGTTTATTTATAACTAAAACTATTCTCGAAATTTCATTAAAAAAATGCATTTGTGACAATACCTAAATGAAATTCTTGCGCAAGAAACAAAAATTGTACAATTAACACGATTTGTGTTCATTGTACAATTATCATTATTATCGTGTCAGTGAAGTGGCAATAAAACATTTACTACCATTTTGCGCACCATACCTCTGCGAGAGCGGATTTTTGGCCACGACAAACACGAAAACTAAACATCGTCACCGACTTCGACTCGAAGATGACTCGAGACTGAAGCTGACCAAAAAACAACCAGATTTTATAAAGTTGTTCAAAGAAAATCGTGCACGTTTGTCGAATTAAATTTAAATAACCTTATGTTATTTTCATTATTATTAGAATTGTATTTTAAAGGTAATAAATAGAATAAGTTTCTTTACATTTATCACTAGCTGTCTACTCACGGCTTCGCTCGCATTATATCGAATTTTCTCGTGGGAGTAAGATATTTTCTCGCAGTAAAATGTAGCCTATGTCCGTCTCCAACGGGTAAGCTATCTCTGTGCCAAATTTTATTAAAACCTGTTCGGCGGTTTAGACGTAAAAAGGTGACAGACAGACAGGCAGAATTACCTTCGAATTTACAATATTGGTATGGATTAATACGAATTTCTGCTATAAGGGTTACGCGAGTTTGAGCTGTTTCTTGAAGTGGTACGCGGGAAAAACTAATTGGGAACCACTGGTATAGTCCAAAAAGCACGCGCTCAACAGTGCCAAAATGGATAAAACCACTAAACGCCGTTAGTGGGTTCGCGTTAACACCTAAACAGGACCCAGTTTCCCGTAAAAAGTCTTTCCGGGATACTCGTCTGAGATCGCCCACTTGTCGCGTTGCAGTAGCCAAATAAATCAAACCGAAAAAAAAGCGTGTTTTAAATATATCTAAATTTTATTGTACCCTTTACCAAACAACTATATTTGTTCGTTTAAACGTTTACAATGCAACAGTAGCAGTAGCGTATTTTGTCATTGTTCTTTGAACTTTAAAAAAATGGCGAGGGCTTCTGCTCGACTTTTCTGGCACTCGAACGGGAGGTCAAGTGACCCATTACGAAGTACGATAATTTTACTACGATAAGCTTTTCTTTTTACTTAAATATTTTGTTGAATTATGATAAAAATCTCCATTTATTTAAATTAAAAAAACGCTACGATTCTCAAAGTTAAAACTGTGTAGTGCCATCTGTTATGTGATGTTACTGAAAAGTAACTTAACCGTTTTATATTTTATAATAATTACTAATATCTGTACTCTCACTAGAAAACTTTATGAGTTTTTAAAAATATAAACAACAATAACGAGTAAAATCTTCATTCCGACACACTCGAGATATGGCACACGACCCCTCTATTTCTGTTTTCCAAAATTTAATAGCATCAACACCCCTTATATGTAAATTACCATAACAATTTTCGTTTAATAATCTCGGAACTAAAAGTGGAATCCCCTATGTATTAGCGCACAAGAGATTCCCCTTTTTTCTGACTTTCTATGTTCAATACCCAGAGAGTCAAATTTGACACGATTACAATACTTTCCCGTCGGGAAAGTAAAAAAAGAAGCCAATATTTGTTTACAATTCCTTCCTTATCTAACTGTTCCTCTGTTACATTTTCTAACAGTGAGGTAATAGTTGTTAAAGCCCAGATTAAAACCGACGAATTCACCATTCAAAAAAGCAATATACGATGAAAAATAGCAGTCAGAATTATCGCAAATTCCGAACTAACGAGAATTTACTGTATTTCGGTTACAATTTTTTCCACTGTCGTCCGTCTATCTTTCCTCAATCTCGAGAATGGAGTTAGATGGATGAAAGAGGAGACCAGATAGTAAAAATTAGGGGCAGGAGGCCCCGATTAACTATATATGAACTTCCGGGTTGTACCGAAAGTTACGTTATTTCAATTCAAAACTTCCCCTGAAAGCAGTTAGATAGATAACCGGCACGACTCTATTGTTAAAGGAAAATATGACGTAGAGGCAAGACACTACAGTACTAATTTGAGATGGAGAGCATAGCATATATTTTAAATTTAAAAAAACGAGCAATTAATTGCAATTTTTATTTTCTGATAAAGGTACTAATATTTAACTGGATAAAGAATTATATTCAATTTAACTTATCCTTTAATTAATCTTACTAAATCTCCGATAAAAATTTATTGCTGCAGTAATATACACACTCATATATAAAATTTTAATAACACTAATTAATAGAAAACAATCTTTCATTGAATTGAATTAATAATAGGAAATACTACACATTTTTTGTGACTGCAAACTCTTCCTCAATAATTATTATTAGAAATATAAAACAAGAATGGACATTTATTTTCTAAGGACTGAGATCTTAGATAAAAATAGCCAATAAATATTGTAGTCAGCCTGTATGCATTTGCTCTAATCAATTAAAAAAACAATATCGATTTATATAAATGAATTATTTAATATAATTAATGAAAAACATTTTATGAATAAATATTATTTATTTGAAATATTTTTTATTAAGTAAATTAATAATTTAATAACAAAAATATCAAAAGTAACTTTCCTATAAAACCAATATTTATTTAGGAAAATACTTATTCTATTATTAAATATTTAATCTCTGCAGCATACTATTAAAAAATTACTATAAATATTTGTTTTAAGCAGAAATAATTAATTAAACTTTACTTCATTAACAAATGAGATGAAAAACTACTATTGATAAGTTTAGTTTGTTTTGAATTAAAATAACATACACAAAAAATACAAGTACATTAAATGTGCATTTAAAAACAAAAACACCTATGAATTAAGGAAAGAATTAATTATATAATTATTCTTATACTTGACATTATATATATATGATATTTACAAAAAGAAAAATATCCACTTTTCAAGGGAGGAAAAAAGCTCAGTGTTAAATAGATAATCACAGAATTTCTTAAATATATAGTAGATTTTATCACCACTTTATTTATAATTAATGTTAAATAACTTTTTCTGTTATGTTTATAACATCTACAGATTAAAAATCACAATTTATCATTTA